CAAATAAATAAAAAAATCTTAAAAAATAAAATAAAATAAAATAATGATGTAAGAATAAAAATTACATTTACATCATTTACACAGTTACCTTGTCATTTATCGTATCTTTCTCAGACACTATACACATTTTAAATGGCTTTGCCTTTAAAACCTAGCACATACTTGACATTTTAAGCATAGCACCCAGAGAACTTAAGACAAAACAAAAAAACACCGATGCCTGTTTTCCACCCAAAACTAGTTAACAGGATCTCTGAGAGTCAGACCTGGACATATAGTAATTTTTAAAGCTCCCTACATGGACTTATGTGTAACCAGGGTGCCGAACAACGGGCATAATGAAAAGGGCACGGGAGTTAGAACTAGAGAGAATGGAATCCAACCCGAACTCTGCAGATAAGCGCTTTCACTTCATTGGGAAGGTCGTGTGTGTTCTCCCTTTTCAGAGCTGTCAGGAGATTTAGAGATAAGCTATTTGAAACATATGGTACATAGTAGACACATTACATTGACAAGGATTACTCATAACAACCTCTAGGGTGTGTGCAAAGTGAGCCGTGTCTTAAGTGCCTAGGACATGCTTCTCACTATACGGAGCCCAAAATATACAGTGTTATTGCCATCCATAGGGTTAGGCTCGAATTATCTAGGATTGAACTTAAAAACCTACTGATGCATCTTATTATCCTAGCTCCCTTTACTATTTCTTAATTATAATAAAATAGTACTTTATTAAATAAAAAGTGAGAAATATTACTATTGTCTCAATAATGCCTCACTGCCTCTCAGGAAAAGCAATAATTTTCTGCAAAAATAAATAAATTAAATAAATAAATAGATGAAAATGATCACAGGAAAAACAAGAACTATGGAGGAAAAGTCAATTATATTCTGTAAACATTTATGTGCTCATAGCTAAGGAGTTTAAATAATTTCAACATGACCAAAATACTACACACAAAAAGAGGTCAATAAATTAGTTTTATAATTGAAGATCATGTGGAAACATTTTTCAAATATCATAGGAATGAAAATAGTTTATGCAGAAATATTATATAGCTTTCAATTGTCAGAAACTAGGTAGTTATATTACTTCCACTTTGAGGCTAGTTTTAATATAGATACAATGAAAATCTTGGTGCACATTGTGCATGCATGTGCATGCGTGTGTGTGTGTGTGTGTGAACTTTTGCTGTCTTTGGCTCTGCATTATATACTTATTATTTTTTAAGACTACAGTTCTAGCATGGGCCCAAACTTCTGACCTTTTTAAGAATATTATACCATAAAGAGCTTTCCAAAAAACTTACTCCTCTTCACAAATCAGTGACTCTTTTACTGAGCACCAATGTATTATGTAGAGTAGGTGATACACTAAGAAGCAAGGCACTGCCTTTAACCTCAAGGAATTTATAAGGAGATGGGAGCCCAATAGGAAACTCATGTTGAATTATGTCTCAATATTTTGCATAGAATGCTATCGTGAGGCTATGGGTCTCAACATCTTCTCGAATTCGTCTAACCAAATTGAAAGTAACAGCATAGTCAAGGTTTGCTGTATAAATCACACGGTCTAGATCCTGACGGAACCAACGTGATTCTATTTGACCAACTTTCAAGAAGGCTGAGCTTATCTTACATGGTTGGAGCATTTTCTGTGGAATAGATTGGTTTCATTTTTTTATCTTATTTTTTAATTTTTTTTTAGCATTTGCAAATGTAGATTGGCTCTAATATCACCACGATGCAAGAGACCAAGGCCTCACAGGCTGTGGGAGAGGGTCTCTACACTGAGGAATGTGGAGTTCTCACCCGTGAATCTCGCTCCAAATTACATCTGCCAGGACGTGCAAAGGCACTGGAACACTCACGTTTACACGTGGGAGGCTTGCCCGTGTTGTTCCATAATCCGTCTTCCCGACACACGGCGGCTGCTTGCTGGCCAGCATCCAGCTGAAAGCCCTCGTTACATTCATACGTCACTTTACTATCCAGTGTGAACTCGTTGCCCGTAAATGACCCATTTCCTGGAGACTCAGGGATTCCACAGGACACAGCTGGAAAGAAATGGCAGAAGCGCAGTAATTCTTACAAGACTTTATGATATTTCCTTGTTCTGTTTCTACTGTTCATCTCCAGTGCATGTACAAGCTGTTAAGATATTTCTAATTCTAATGTGTGGGATAAGTGGACACATTTTCAGTCTTAAGGATCTTGAGGGTTAATGAGAAGCCATGGAAAACTGCTCAGAAAAAAAACATCTGTGTGATTACGATCCCAGAAGGTAAGTCTGACTGATGTCAAACAGTTTAAACACACTGAGGTGCTTTCTCAGATGGCTGTGCTCAGAATGCCACAGTGTCATGGTTTCCACTTCATTTAACATTGCAAAGAAAGGAGGGAACAGCATCTTTACCATCACAAAATCTACCGATGCCTTGGTGTCGAGATTTCTCAGGAATCAGAACTGAAGTCAACAGTCTTACCTCCCCTTATGTGCACCTTCCCCTCCCCCCATGACTCATTTTCCTTAAAGCACCAGACAGTTCTAATAAAAGGCAAAAGACTTAGCCAAGATCATCGATGCATCTATGATCATAGTATGTTATTTTATAAAATACCTGTCAGAACACAGGGCCTTGAGGAACTAAAATCCAGGAGGAGAAAGGGAGGGTACCTAGAGCATAGACCTCGGTCCTACAGGTGCTAAGCAGGCCTGTTCTCAGTGTGAGGCCACGCAAGAAAGTGGGATGAAGGAATCAGACATGTTTTAAAGACAAAGAAGATGGAGGGGGAGTTCAGTGTAACACTCCCTTCTTCAATTTCCTAGTTCTGATTCAGACTCATCTACTATGAGACATAAAGAAACAAAACAAAACAAACAAACAAAAAACAACCCTCAAGTGACATGACTGTAAGTTACAGTAAAGAAACAGAATAGTAAGGCAGGACAAGGAGATGGAGAGTCATTCCCAATGACACATACCGAATTCACATGTCCTTGTCAAAGAGAAGTTTTCCATTAACTAAAGTAACGGCCTTCCTTTACTCAACCAATATTTAAGATAATATTCACCTCATGGATTTTAAATTCGGGTCATTTAAAAATGTTTCCACATTGATTCCAATGAGAAAACACATGTAGCATGTTAGAGCTGGAAGGATAGGTTGAACGAATTATATAAACTTACAGTTTTACAATTAACGAGAACTGAGGGTCAGAAGGAGAAAATGACTTGCTTAGGGTATCAGAGCGACTCTGTGTAGAACCCAGGGCCACAGAGCAGACCTGTGACTCCCAACTGAGACCATCTTCTAATTCCACAAGAGCCCACTGAACTACCTGTGGTTCACTCTGAGTCTTCTGGTTGTTGTTCTCTTCTTTGTTTTTTTAGCACAATCTTCAATAAATGCAATGTAAAATTACCATGGAAGTAAAAAATTTTTAAATGTAGTGGCTGATAAAGATCAAACTTCTGGAAAGTCCAAGTACTCAAGTTTCTCTTGTGCTTAAATGTCTAATCAGCTATTTCAACCATTTAAAAAATACATATACACAGCACATATATATATGAAAGTATATATATGTTTATTATATATGTATATATATATATATATTTGAGGCATACTATAATAAACATTTGCAGTAGATAGGGGATAAAACTTAGACATATAGACATGATTTTGGATAAAGTACTTAAAATAATTAATAACCTCTGGCTTTCCAACCCATTGTTTTATTGAGGCAATGTATCAGGGATTTGCAAAACATTCATCTTAATTTATTGAATGCAGTGAATGTCCTTTGTGATTGGATCTCTCAGGATCACCAATCTCTTGTTTCCTTACCAATTCCTCTTGCATTTCACTCAAATAATCATTTGTTCATTCTCACAAACCTAAATTTCTCTCCTGCTTGCTGAAGCATGCCAAGTGTCCAGTTACTTCTTAGCTCTCGTTTGGAGTGAGTGCCAAATGAAATGACATTTCTTCGGCAGGTAACATTCTACAAACATGCATGAAACCCTACCTTAAAGGGACTCATACTCTGGAGGCCAAAACAGAAAAGCTTTCTAACTACTTCTGCTAAATCTGGAAGCTTATTTCACACATAAACCCTCATTCCAAGGACTGAAGGAGACCCACTTTCTATCTTCTGATCAACAACTGGGAATATGTGTTTGGCCTTGAGCTATGGGTTTCAGCCCCTCTAGACTGTCTTAACAGTAGGCTGCTTGGCAGGGCTAAAAATAAAGGTTGGCAATCAATCAACCATGACATTGTCACACTTCTGATTCAATGAAGATAGATGGTATAATCCTTACAGATTTAGAAATTTAGGTTCATGGGATAAGGAGCCTCCCACTAAGGTCTAGTATTGACCCATCTATTCATTCCTTCAAAAAATTTTGTATGATTACTAGGTGGCAGATATTCTTTAGAGCACTTTTTAAATGTCAATGAGCTAAATGCATGCAACTTTCAAAATATGCAGAAGGTTCTTACTTTTATTATAGCTAAAATGAGTAAATCTTTTTTTTTTTTTTAAAGATTTTATTTATTTATTTAACAGAGAGAGACACAGCGAGAGAGGGAACACAAGCAGGGGCAGTGGGAGAGGGAGAAGCAGGCCTCCCGCTGAGCAGGGAGCCCGATGCGGGGCTCGATCCCAGGACCCCGGGATCATGACCCGAGCCGAAGGCAGACGCTTAACCATCTGAGCCACCCAGGCGCCCCTCTTTTTTTTTTAATTACACTAATATAGCATTATACTTCCCAGCCAACTGAGGCAAATGACCACATACTCATCCTTTAAAATTATCTTCTGTCGAAGAACACAGACTTTAAAGTCAGATTTCTGTATTAGTTCTTGTCTCTGACATTTTCCAGCTCTATGATTTTAGTTAAAAGACTTAATGAATGTTGTCTTGTTGCTTTCAGGTTAATAACGGCCACCTCAGAGGTAATTGTATGGAGTAGATGACATAATGTATACAGAACAGCTACAACTGGGTTCATACAAGGTAGGCGTTCAATAAATAAGAAAGCATCATTAGTAGTAGTAATAGTTATATGCATGATCATCATTTTACTTATTTCTTTTGCAAAGAAAAATATGAGTGGCAAGGATTACCTCCTTGTAATCTATTTATTAAAGAGAGCAAAGAGGAAATTAGTAGTAAATTAGCTTAGTTCTATTACATATCTCATGAGATATTTAACATTTTGGCTTCAAATACATAAATGGAAGAGCCACTCCACTGTCCAGTGTCCTATTCTTCTTTTATAATAATGAACCCTACTCGGGATTTTTTTATGTATTTAAGACCAAACAGTAGTCATTCTTGCCTCTGTAGGTTTAAACACTTCTCTGATTTTTTCCCACTTCTTTAAATGTTTGTTCCCTGTACCTTACAATGGCTCCTTTTCTTTCTGCTACCCGTCAAGTTTCAACACAGTACCATTTGCTTTGCTTTCTTTTTCTTTTCTTTCTCCATTTTTTTCCCTTCAAAGACGGGAATATCACTCAGTGATATTTGGGCTTTGACTATTGCCTTAGGCTTGTGATTCTCATGCCTTGACATCCACTCAGTCCACTTGAGCAATCCCCACATCTCAAGCTAAATATGTGTAGGTCTTGGGGTTGTCACCTGACCTTCATTGTAGTTGTCCTGACCAACTTTCTCCCAGTCAGTCAGGTCAGATTCTTTCGTTCACTTCTTTCTTTACACAGCCTTGATTTGGTTGGTGGCTAATCATTGTCCACCTATTTGAACATCTGGTTCATACTCTATCAGTATCCTAGCTCACATACCCATTATCTCAAAATGGAATGTCTACCTTTTCATTATCTGGCCCCCACTCATCAGGCTAAGGCAAGCCCAGAGGGAGATCAATCACCCATACCATAAAGCTGGGAATAAAAATAGTATCCCACAGTAGGAATTCCTATGGCCTGGTTAAGGTAAGAGATATGTTTAAGTAAAAACATCTGAAACAGGACATTCAGGAAATCTGATAGGTACCTGGTTTATAACCAAAAAACCTAGTTGAATATCAAATACAAAAGGAGCATAAACAAAAATGAAGGACCACTGATAAGCTCCAGATCAAGAGCCCATGAAATGCTCTGTAAAGAATAGGATGTGCTAAGAGATACAGAAGAGGACCTGAATTGTAAAAGAACAATGCAAATCCCTCATACATTCTGCCTAAAGCATAATGAAGAACAATACAGTGACGTAGCCAGTGTCTCAAATGTAGACAATGGATTTCTGAGGGGTTATAAGTATACAGTTTAAGCATATAAGAATTTTATATTAATTAAAATTTATGTATATGCATGCCACTATATATATATATAATTCTAATAGAAGAGGGGCACCTGGGTGACTCAGTCAGTTAAGCATTTGCCTTTGGCTCAGGTCATGATCTCGGAGTCCTGGCTTTGAGACCCACATTGGTCTCCTGGCTCAATGGGGAGTCAGCTTCTCCCTCTCACTCTCCCTCTGTAGTCTCCCTCTCTCTTTCTCCCAAATAAATAAAAAAAATCTTAAAAAAATAATTCTAATAGAAGAATATTCCAAATTGCCATCTCTAATTTGGTTCCGCTCTATATTTGTGCCTGCATTTGTTTTGTGTTTATAATCATGTTGTAGCCAAGTACCAGGGAATTTGTTATAGTCTAATAAGAAAAGCATCAGAGGAAGATAATATAGAAATCATGTCACTTATTATTCACTACAAGCCTATTAGATAAAAGACTTTTAACAATATTTTTGCTGACTATAAAATTCTGGGTTGTTTTCTTTCAGCCCTTAAAAAATGCTGTTCCACTTCTTTCTACCCATCAGGGTTTCTGATGAGAAATCTACTGTCACTAGAATCCTTATTTCCCTATAGGTGATCCATTGTTTCTGCCTGGCTTCTTTCAGGATTTTTTTTTTTCTTTGTCTTTAGTCTTCAGAAATTCTACCATGATGTGCCTTGTTGTGCATTTCTTTGGGTTTCTGGTATTTGGGGTTCACTTAGCATTTTGAATCTGTTAGGTTTAAAT